CAGCTGAACTTGACAATGCCTTTGGGTGTGAAGATGCCGCAGGCTTGGGCAGGGAGGGGCACGCGGCACTGTGCCAGGCACCTCACAGATCCAGAGCCCTGTCCTTGGGGAAACTGAGGCCCCACTTGTCTGCAGCCTTGGAGCTGGTGGGAGGGAGAGCCCCGTGCCCCCCGCATCAGTGCTGTTACTTCCCGAGGGAAGGATAAAGGACAAGCCAGGCAGCCAGGCGACAGTCAGGGTAGGGACAGGCAGAGGCCCTGGCAGTGCCAGCACCATGTGATTTGCGGGGACAGACCCGGCTCTGCTCCTTTCCGCTGCGGTCCCTGTGCCTGGAGCCCGGCTCAGTGAATGCTCGCCAACCGCCGATCGTGGCGTTCACGGCCTGCCTTCCACGTCTGTGTTGGCGTGGGGCCCTCTCCCAGCCTGCCCGCGCTCCAGCAGGTCTCCCGGTGTAGAGATGAGAAACCCGGGGCTCAGAGGTCACCCAGAGGGGGGACCCGATGCAAGCAGAACACAGCCCACCCGGATACCCACCTCCCACACGTGAATCCACACGTCCTGGCTGCGACCCACAGCCCGACACCGCGAGCCGTGCCGGGGAGGGAACGAGAGGCTGCCTGGTCCCGTTTCCTGGCACAGGGCTGAGTGAGTGTCTTGGGGCCTGTAGAGCGGCTCTCGGCTCTCCAGAGTTTCACCCCCGTGGGCATCCAGGGCCCCCCTGCCCCAGGCACTGTGGGAGAAACCCCACGGCTCAGCCAGAGCCCAGTGCGTGGGAGCCATCCCAGCCCGGCCACATTCCCAGCCCCTGGGAAGCCTCTGGACGTACCCTGGTGGGCTCTCTCCCCACTGCTGGAGGACAGCCAAGTGTGGCATCCTGTGGGTGGTCTGACCCAGGGGTCTCACTGTACAGGGCCCACCATGCACTGTGGCTTGGCTGCTGCCCTCTGAGTGCCACTGGGCGACTGGCTGTCACTCAGCTTCCTCCCAGAGCCCCGCTCCTCCTGTGCACAACAGCAACAAATATTGGCCCTAAGTCAGGTGACATCCATGTGTGTCCCGCCAGGCAGGGGCCTAGCGCCCAGAGGGCTGTGGTCATGATGGCGAAGAGCTGCAGGCTGCTCAGCCGTGCTAGCCCACCGGATGTTTTGGGCCTTGCATAGTCGTTTACTGGACACACATCTGTATTAACACTGCTCAGTAAATTTCTGCAAACTGACCCCACCGCCTGCCACCAAGATCCAGGTAGAGAAGCGATAAAGACCAGGGCTGATGCTGTGGTGCAGCGGGGTGAGCCGCCACGGGGGCACCCACGTCCCCTGTCCGGGAGACCCAGATGGTGCTCCTGGCTGCTGGCTCTGACTTGGCCCAGCCCTGGCCATTGCAAACATTTGGGGAGTGAACCAGTGGATGGAAGATCTCTGTCTCTCCCTCTCTCTCTGTCACTTTGCCTTTCAAATAAATAGATAAGTCTTTCGTAAAGGAAACAGCACATCTTCAGACCTCAAAGAGCCCTGTGTCCCCCGCAGCCTCTGCCCCCTGCAAGGATGACTGCGGGCCTGGCTTTTGAAAGCGTGGGTCGGTTACGTGCGGTCTAGGAGTTCACGTAAATGCAGTCGCACTGCGTGTGCGCTTTTGCTCCTTTGCCCACAGGCACGGGCACACAAGCCTTGCCCCATTTGGACACTGAGTGGCAGCTTGGTGGCTTCCAGTCGGGAGCTACTGTGAGTGGTGCACCTGTGACCCTTTAGTCTTTGTTCTGGGGGGGGGGGGGGAACGCCTGTGTTCCTGTTGTTGTAGGTGTACTGGGCTGAGCCTTCCCAAAGGTGCTGGGAAAGAGAGGAAGGGGCAGGTGCGTGCTCTGGGGGAGGGGCGCTGCCGGCCCCGGGTTCAGGATGGCAGGCTGAAGTCTGAGCTTGGCCGAGGGGGCAGTGGTGGAGCCCCACTGTGTTCGGCCCCTGAGAGCTTATGGTCCAGTTGGGGAACTGAGGTGAGATGCAGGAGACTGGAAGTCTGCATGGAACAGCCGCAGGCTAGTGCAGACAGCAGCAGGGTGAGCTGTCAGCTTGGCCTGGGCTCTGCGGGTGCCGAAGGCCTCTCTGTCCAGCGGACACTTGTGCACCCTTCAGTGCCCAGCGTATTCGTTCCCTCCTCAGCAGAGCGCTCCTGGGTCCACTGGACCCTTCCTGGCAGGTTTTGCCACTGTCAGTTACCAGCTGAATACACCTGCCGTAACCAGCAGGCAGGTGGGGAAACCACGTGGTCTTTTGTTTGGTCTCTGCCGGCTGCTGGCCTGCAGGCCCTGTGTGGGCATTGTTCCTGGCTGTATCACCTGGCTTGCCAAGGAGCTTGGCCTGTGGGAGGGGCTTGCGCCTGAGAGCAAAGCCGTGGGGGGTAGAGGTGGAGGTGGGGATGGGATGGTGACTGCCTGCAGCAGGGGTGCCCGAGGGGAGCTGGAGATAAGGCTGGAGGGCAGCGGAAGGCCTCGCTCCCACACTCCCACGCTCCAACGCCAGGCCAGAGAGAGCGAAGACAACTCTGCCAGCCACAGGGAGCCATTGACGCTCCTGGAGCTGGAAAGTGACACCATCAGAGGTTAATTGATGACATTTCAAAGCGAGACGTTTCTGAAAAGCGGAATGATGGAATTGCAATTTTCGCCTCTTGCTGTGGTTTCCAGGAGAGTGTATTTCAGCAAGGCGGGCTCTTTCAGTTGTGTTCCTGATGGGGAATTGACCCAGATGGAGAGGAAATGAGGAGGCAGCGTCGGACTGTTTCCCTGAGACGTCAGCCGCAAGGTTGCAGCCAGCTGCACAAGGACCCACAGACCAGGGGTTCTGGCCCCTGGCGTGCGCACAGCCGGGCACCCGCCACAGAAGCCTCCTCGGCTGGGACGCCCTCCCTGCATCCCACCCTTCTCATTCCTCCCACCCCTTGTGGCTCAGAGCTCACGTCACCTCTTCAGGAACCTTCCCCACGCCCCTCCAGAGAAACATCCCTCCCTTGCCCATAACGCACGCCCCTGGAGTGTCTCCTGGCTGTGTCATTGGCTTGATTTTTGGCCACGGTGTGGGCAGGGACAATTCCCTGGGGCAGAGACAGGTGCTGGTGACATACATGTGTGAGGCTGTACTGTTGGGACAGGAGCACACAGATCAATGGAACAGAAGATAAGTCCAAAAACCACGGGAAATGAATGTGTCATAAAGATGGCATATCCAATCAGTGGCTAAAGATGAGTTATTTAAAGATGGCATTGGGACAACTCGGATAGCCATTTAGAAAAAAATAAGCTGGGGCCGGCACTGTGGCACAGCAGGTTAAAGACCAGTCTGCAGTGCCGGCATCCCATATGGGTACCGGTTCGAGTCCCGGCTGCTCCACTTCTGATCCAGCTCTCTGTTGTGGCCTGGGAAAGCAGTAGAGGATGGCCCAGGTCCTTGGGCCCCTGCACCCGCGTGGGAGACTCAGAAGAAGCTCCTGGCTCCTGGCTTTGTATCAGCTCAGCTCTGGCCATCGCGGTCATTTGGGGAGTGAACCAGCAGATGGAAGACCTCTCCCTCTCTGGCTCTACCTGTCTCTCTAACTCTTTCAAATATATAAAACTTTTTTTAAAAGCTAGATCCCACTTCACTACTTATATGGAGATAAATTACAGAATGGAATAAGGACTTCAATGCAGTGAAGATATAGATGTTCCAGGAGAAAATATCAATTGCTTTTATAATCATAGAATGAAAAATAAACCTTTGTTTTGACTTCAAAACCCTAAAGTCTTTAAAGGAAAAAATCAGATGATATAAAAATATGATTTTCACATGGCAAAAAATAAAAAAAATCCTACCATAATCAAACCAAGACCACACAAGGAAGACATGTTTGCAAACTGTATCACCAACGACTCATTTTCTTTATCTCCAAAGAGTTCAAATAAGAAATGGGCAAAAGATGTGAACAGGTTGTTCTTAAAAAAAAAATGCCAATGAGGGATGAGCACACAGGATGCACACGCTGAGGCTCCTGAACCAGGAGGGAGTGAAGGGAGCTGGCTGACGCCATCTGTCGCCTCTCAGTGGCGGACACCAGACACTGACGAGGGTGCCATGGAGCGGAGCCTCCAGGTCCTGCAGGTGGGCAAGTAACTGGTGCAGCCTTGGCCGACAGGGGAACCATCCTGATGACGACAGTGGAAGCTCCCTTTGCCAAGTCCTCCCTCTGGGGAAGAGAACGCGCTACCTTTTACCATCTCCCTCCGAAGTCACAGCTCCCCAGTGGTTCCACGGCCCTGCTCGCGGGTTGGGGTGAGGTGTGCTTCCAGGGCCTCATGGTCAGGTGGGTTCCGGCAATTTCTAGCCTCACGGGGAACCCTGGGTGCTGGCTGCCACATTAAACCTGCCACCTCGTGGTCCACTCTGCGGATGGGGAGACAGGCTCGGAGAGGTGTGGTGCCGGTCACTTGTCCAGTGTCACAGCCAGAGCTTGTCCATTGGGTGAGACTTTTCTCTTTGCCTTCCCCACTGGTCTCCCTGCTGCCACTATGGGGCCCTTACAAATCTCCTTGCCCATCCCAAAAATGTAATTGGGACCGCACTGCTTCTTCCCTCTCAGAATCGCATCGCACACCTCAGGGTGGCAGACAAGGCTCCTCCCACCTGCCCCGGACCCACCCCGCGCCAGCAGCAGTGGTCACCTGCCTGTTCCCTGGGGTATCTGCATCCCCTGAGCCCCCAAGTCTCCATCCTCTGCAGGCTGTGGCACGGGCTGGCTTACTCTGGGGAGGGACGGCCCTGCCTGCCCTGCCCAGGGCCCAGCCTGGTCTCCGGCTGCACTCCAGGCCCAGGCTCTAAACAAGAATGTTGGGTGGTGTTCAGTTGTTCCTTGCGTTCGGCGCCTCGACTTAGCACAGTCATGTTTACGAGGGAGGGCCTTGGTCTCTCTTTCCGGGTTTCTTGTCTGCTGGCCCCTGCTTGATCATATCCAGGTTAAGCATTCTGGGGGTGAACAAGAAGTGGGGGTGACACGGCGTCTTCTACCGCGTCCCTTGCAGCAGTGAGCACACCCTGCCAGGCGGCCCCATGGTGGGGCTGCCACGCTTGCCTGCCTGGTGGGGAGGTCGCTCCCCCACAGCTGCAGTGTGCAATCCCACTTTCCCCTCCGTGGTTAATCAGCAAGTGTGGGGCCCCTGGGGTTCTTAACAGTCTGAGATGCTTGCAGGGCCTGCTCTGGCCATCCCAAGGTCCTGTCTCTCCTAATACTAGCGACCCGCTGTGCCCCATGGCCAGGCATCCACTTGGGGGTGTGCTTACTGCACAGAGGGAGCTGCTGGAAGGGCTCAGCTACCCCCAGAAGACCCAGTGAGCCTGTGCGGAGCCAGAGGTGGGAGGTGGCAGGGAGGCTGTGTCGTCCCCTTCAGCAGATCTGGGGGGGGGGGTCGCTTTCCTTGCCCTGGTCTCCCAGCAGGTTGTGGCATGGACACAACACTGGGACAATCAGTGGCCAAGAAACTAGGCCACTGGTTCCTGGTTGGGACCCTTGCTGTGGCCACTTTAAGGATGGAGGGATCCTGCAAACTACCTGCAAGGTGACTCAGGCAGCGGCAGCCCCTGCAGGAGGGCGGGGACAGCCTGTGGATGCTTTGGAGGGCTCCACCTAGCTCCACCCTGGCTCTCAGCGCTCTGCCCACTGAAAGGGGCCCACTGGGGTCCTCCCTGGGGGTACTGGTGCTCTGCGCAGCTAGAGAAGAGGCAGGTTACCTGGGTCCCCTCCCACCTTTGAACTTGGGCTGCCTGCGGCCCACATATCCCTCCGCTGCTGGCCAGAAGTCAGGGGTGTCTGGGGGTGTGGCGGAGGGGGAGGGCAAGCTCCTGAGCCTGCATGATCTCCTTTCGGAGTGAGGGCGGCAGTTCTGGTGCCGGGAACGCCCCCATTTCTGTGAATGAGCTCTGGAACCCGGGCCCCCGCTTCATTCTGAGAAATCATCCTTAGGTAGCAGCACGTGTGGGTGTTGAGGCAGTGCAGGGCCTGGGACGTGAAGATGCAATGGAGAACACGAGAGAGGGGAGTGGCTGGAAAACGCATCTGATGTCAGGCATAAAAGGCGCTAATGAGGAGCACGCCTCAGCCCTCGCTCCCCGGGAAAGTGTGAGCTCTGCGCTCTTCATCCCGATCTGCGGCGCTGCACTCCCAACTCTCACCTGTAGAGGGAGCCTTGCTCACCTTGTGGATGGTTCACAATGCGAAGCTTTCAGGGAAAGAAAGAAAAGGCTTTTTACAGAAAAAAAGTTGGAGGGTTTAAGGGCAGCCTATCTCAGCGCTGCGAACCTCCGCGGCGGCGGCGCTCGTCCCTGCTGGTTGCGCGGGGAGAGGGTCGCAGCCCAAGCAAGGCGGTGCGGTCGCCCTTCCTCCTCCGTGCAACCCCGCCGCGGGACAGCGCGGGCATTTTTTTTCAGCCAGTGCCCCCCAGAATTCCACAAGGGTCGCTCTTGCTCCCTGCTGCAGCGCAGGCTTTTCCCTGGACTGAACTGTTGCACCAGGGCCTGGTTCGGGGGGGGGGGTCTCTGTCCCTGACCCATTTACCGCGTCTGAGGGTCTGAGTCTGCGGTCTGGGGACAAGCGCTTTAGGGTTCGGGCAGCGGCCGAGGTTGCTCGGGCCTCCAGCTCCCCCCTCCCCGGTCCCGTCTTCTCCCGCGCGGCGGCGGAGGTGCGCTCGCCCCAGGCACCGGCCTCTGCGAGGCGCGCGTCCGCGGACGGTGCGCGCCCGGGTCCGGGATGGAGCCGCTGTCTCGCTTCTCTCCTCTCACTTCCCGCGGCGGCTGGCGCGCGGTGCGGAGCCGCACCGCACGGTCGGGCGGCGCACAATGAGCGGCCGAGGGGCGGGGGCCCGGCCAGGGGGCCCCGGCGTCGCCGAAACGTTTGGGTGGAACAGGTGAGCGCGGCCCGGGCGCTCGGGCGCCGCGGCGGGCGCGGGGGAGGGCGCAGGGCCGCTGTAAAGTAAGTGGTGGGAAAGAGACAAAGGAAGAGTGAAGAGGCGAGACGGTGCGGAATTGAGGGAGGGGGAGGGGGCGGCGGTGGGCAGCGTGCGCGGAGCTCGAGCTTGAACTTGATCACGAAAGGGGGGGGCTCCGAGGGGGGAGGGGGCCCCGCAGGGAGCCGGCCACGTGCCTGGCTCCCCAGGCCGGGGTCTCCGCCCGCCCGGGTGCCGAGCACCCAGGCCAGGCAGCTCCGCCCGCCGAGGACCCCAGTCCGCTGGGAACCGAGGGGCGCGCAGGGGTCGCGGGCTACTCGAAGGTCCCGGGGCGCCCAGAGTTCCTGACCACGCCTGAGTCACTTTCTTTGGGTTAAGTCTCCCTCTCCCGGCCTAAACGCGGACACCCCGCCGGGGGCCCGGTCCTCCGCACCCTTCCCGCACCGGCACCCCGCCCCCCGGTCCTCTGCCAGGCTCCTTCCCCGCCGGGATCCTCCGCGGAGCGCTTCCCCCTTAAGAGCGCTCTCCCCGCGGGGCGCACGGCGGCGCGTCCGGCGCGCCCTCGTCCCCCTACCTGGCCCGGCGCCCCCCTCCTGCCTCCTCCCCCACCCGCCTCTCCCTCCTCTCTCCTCCCGGCTCCCTGGGTGCCTCCTTCCCTCTCCCCCGCCCCCCCCCCCCGTGCCCACTCCTCCTCCGGCTGCTCCTCCTCCTCCCCCTGCGTGCGCCCTCCCTGCACTCCCCTCCCCCCGGCCCCCGCCCCGTGCCCGGGCCCGCCCCCCTCCCCCGCCTCCCCGTGCCCGGTGCCCCCTCCCCCTTCCTCCCTCCCGGCCGCGGCGCCGCCGCCGCTGCCGCCGCTCGCCTGGGCCCTCCCCCTGGCCACCCCCGCCCCCGGGCCGGGCAGTGACGCGCCGCGGCGGTGCCAGCCCCTCTCCCCGGGCGGCCGCGGCGGCAGCAGCAGCAGCAGCAGCTGGAGCTGTGGGGCTGTCACCGCCGTCCGCCCCGCTCACTCGCGGAGCCCGGCCGCTCGTCTCCGCCTCGTCGCCCGCTCAGGTACGGAGTCCGGCCCGGATCCCGGCGATCGGGCCGTGTCCGGGCTCTGGGCCGCCGCCCCCTCCTCCCGCCGCTGCCGCCGGCCGTTGAGCTGCGGTTGGGGGGGCGGGGGGCTGGGGTTCCGGGGAGGGGGACGCAGGGGGCCCTCCAGCGCCGAGGCTGGGGAGGGGGCGCGGGGGAGCGGGCTGCGCCCTGGGCCGAGTGGGCCGGGGTGGAGGGCGGGCGAGGGTGACGGAGAGTGGGGGGGAGGGGGCCGCGGACCGCCGGAGAGGTGTGCCTGGGCCGGGCGCTGGGGGCCGCCGGGCGCACCCCACTCCCGGGCCGTGCGCGCCGCCGGGCCTGGGGGGCGGTGATTGTGTGCGCCGCGCCGCGGTATTGTGCGGCGGCCGCACCGTTTGCAGCGGGCTCGGCGGCGCGTCCCGGAGCCGGGAGGAAGGGCTCGCGGGCGGCGGGGCGGGGGCCGGGCTCGGGTTGCCGCCGCCGCCGCCGCCGCCGCGCGAAGGGAAGTGGACTGGGTTTGGGGATGTGAGGACTGGAAGCGCCCAGCGGCAGGGAGGGGCTGCCCGCCACGGCGCGGGGAGTTGGGACGCGGTTTGCAGAGTTGAGCCCACTTTGGCAGGCCCCTGCCGCTCCCCTCGGGGGGCCGGGCGCCTCTCCCAGGTGCGCCGTCCGAGCTGAAGCCCGCGCCGAGCGGCATTCCTTAACCGAGGGGCGCTCGGGGCCGGGGCGGCCGGCCGGAGGGCGCGCCGGGGCCAAGTTGGGTTCCCAGTTCTGCCCGCTGCCCGCGGCCCCGCACCTCGTCCTCCGGGGCTGGACGCCCGGCGTGCCGCCCGCGGTCTGGTTCCGGCCACCCTGGTTCAGAAGTGACCCCACTCCTGCTCGGAGCTGCATTTGCGCGAGTCGCGTCTCCCCTACCGGGCCTCGCTTCCTGGGGGAAGTCCTCATTAAGCCTCGCTAATTAGCATTATTCCCGGAGAAAGGTTAAGGTTAGACCGGCCCCTTCCTTATCGCTGAGGTCCGCTCCCCCTCCTGCGTTTCCCCTCTCCCTTCCCACTCCCAGGGAGCACAAAAGCGCAGAAAGAAAGTGTGAAGAGGGCGGATCAATGACGGAGCCACAAACCCATTAATTCCAATGGAGCCCCCACCCCCCACCCAAAATATTGATTTTTCTTTCTCTGCTCCGAGGGGAGATGAATAACCTCCTGACTCCACCTGGAATGCTGTTTGGATTCTGATTTCCTCCCCTTGGAGAAGGATTGTGGGTTGAAATATACACCCCCCCCCATAAAGCCCTGCTTATCCCAGAATCAGCGAGAACCCCAGGGGGCGCGTGGGCAGAGGTGTTTGGAGCGTCTCATTGCTCCTCTGTGGAGAGCCAGCTGTGATGGGACGGATCGGGTCTGCTCTCAGGACCCCTGCACACACCAGCTTCCGGGCTGGGCCTAGGTCCCAGGGAGAGGGTCTGCCTGGTGGTTCAGCTCCCGGGTAGTAAATTATCCCCTCGTTGGAAAGCCATTAGGGCCAAATGTGTCCTTGGATAACATCAAGCTCCTGTCTAATCCAGGCGTGGCCTGGGTTTGTCTCCTGGAGCAGGGCTTGGCTGACACCCCTGCTGCACCCCCGGCTCCCCATCTTCCCAGCCCTGCAGGCTGGCTTACGGGAACTTCTCGGTGGCCCAAGCTGCCCCTGGGCGATTCGGAGCTGGACCGCCTGGCGTTGCCCAAGAACTTGGTTGTGCCATGTGGGTCCTGCCCTGGCAGCCCTGCTGTCTCCATCCCTCCAGCCTCCCCTTTCAAGAGACCCCTGTTCGCGGTCGGGGCTGGGGGTATCCACGAGACCCCGGTGGTAAGGAATGCTGGGAAAACAGCCAGTTGAGTTGTGTGAGCTTCGGAACAAAAGCCCATTTTACGCTGGAGGCAGTGGTGGGGAAGTGTGGGGAATGCTCACTCCCAGTACCCTCCAGTACTGTAAGGACAGAGCATCCATAGGGATGTGTGGACACCCTCCTGGGGCGGGGGGAGGGTACCTAAAGGGTGACAGGAGATTGGCCGTGTCTCAGCCCTTCCAGCTTCCTGTTTCCCAGAAGAGCTTGGGCTCCGGTGACTGGCAGGCAGGGAGGCATGCTAGCAGGAAGGAGTGGACCTGGGCAGGGAGTGTCCCCAAGGGCTGGCCTTCCACTCCGATGGCCAGGTGGGCTTGGAGCACTGCAGGAAGTAGCAGCCTTGTGACTTCATAGGGCCCAGGAGCCGTGACGGAGGCCACCCTCGTATTTTGTTTGTGCAGTCCCCCTTTGCCACAGGGACCTGCACCCTGGTTGCCTGAGATCCCGGGGGTTTTTCGCCTCCCATTCATAAGCCATCTGATGAACCCAAGTGGTTAAGCTGGGGTCAAGTGCGGTTCAGTACCTTCTTGGCATGCTTAGAAGGCTGTGTATGTAATGCTCACCCCCGGGGAGACGGAGGGGTCCCCTGGTGCTGAAGAATCTGCAGGGGCCCCGGAAGGGGTCACAGGTGGTGCGCAGGGGACCCTCACCTGTGGATTAGGAAGCCGTTTCACCTGCACACCTGGGCGCCTGTGCTGGGGCAGCTGCCTGAGCCTGCTGCCTGCAAACCCGGGGGCTGAACAGAGAGGGGTCTGTTTCCTGCTGGGCCCAGAAGCATCCCCTGCACCTCCCCACCCCTGCGCCCTGCCCAGCCTCATCAAACGTGTACCCAGGGCTGCTGGCCGAGGCTTAGGGCTTACAGGGGTGCGCACTGCCCAGCAGATCCCCCTCCTCCTCCTTTCTCCGGCAAGTGGCAGATAGAGTTACAGCTCTGAGGAAAGGCCTGGAAAACACTGAGCGAGGCACGCCCCAGGAGCCCGAGCCCTGGAGGATGCAAACGGCTCCACTCCAGAGGCCCCAGGAACCCAGTTCCAGAGAAATTGACCCCAGTTGTAAAATAATCAGGTTGCTGAGAGCACCTGCCTGTGGTTACCAGCCGTGGCTGCCATCCTGTTGGCACCATCTTCCTTCTGCTCTCCCGGTTTGCCCTCCTCCCCGGGGCTGGGCAGTGGCTGGTGTTAGTGGCCTGCCAGGGAGGAAGGGCCTCTGTTGCTGGGTGGAGAGAAGTGGAACCTGCCCGTGAATTTTGGACTGCAGATAAGAGTAGGGAAGGCTTGGGCAGCTCCTCTCCCTCTGCCCTGAGTCAGGGCTGCCAGAATGGGGTGTGCCCCGGGTGCTGACTAGGTGCTGCCCACCTGCCGCCTGCTCACCTCTGGGGTGTGTTCCAGGAGGGCAAGGTGGCCCCAGGACCCGTGGTGGCTATGGTCCTTTGGTGTCAAATACATGGCAGGGTGTGTGTGTGTGTGTGTGGTTTTTTTGTTTTTGTTGTTGTTTTTGTTTGTTTGTTTTTTGTGTTTTTTTGACAGGCAGAGTGGACAGTGAGAGAGAGAGAGACAGAGAGAAAGGTCTTCCTTTGCCGTTGGTTCACCCTCTAATGGCCGCCGCGGCCGGCGCACTGTGGCTGGCGCACCGTGCTGATCCGAAGCCAGGAGCCAGGTGCTTCTCCTGGTCTCCCATGGGGTGCAGGGCCCAAGTACTTGGGCCATCCTCCACTGCACTCCCGGGCCACAGCAGAGAGCTGGCCTGGAAGAGGGGCAACCGGGACAGAATCCGGCGCCCCGACCGGGACTAGAACCCGGTGTGCCGGCGCCGCAAGGCGGAGGAATAGCCTAGTGAGCCGTGGCGCCGGCCCTGTTTTTAAGATTTATTTCTTTGAAAGTCAGAGTTGGGAGAGGGTGTGGAGAGAGATCTTCCATCCACTGGCCCACTCTCCAGATGACTGCAACATGAGTGGCCATCCACCACTTTTCCTAGGCCACTGACAGAGAGCTGGATTGGAAGGGGAGCAGCCAGGACACAACCCGCGCCCACAGGGGATACTGGCCGTGGCTTTACCTGCCCCGCCACAGCGGCCCCCCATGATGGCACTTTTGTTGCTGAGTGGACAAGGCCACAGGCTTCCTGGCTTCCCAGGGGCAGCTGACTGCACAGTCTCACGGGTGCTGTGAGAGGGACCCAGAAGGGGTGGGACGCATGCGTGGTCTGTTGCCTACAGAAAGCGAGAGTGGCGGCCCCAAGTCCTTGATTCCAGAAGGCCAGAGCAGGAAGCATTCACCTTGTGACCTCTGGGGTAGCAAGGGAGCACCTGGGGTCTGTGCAAGCCTCACCCAGCCGGTCCCTCGGGACTGGGGTGCCGCGGGTGTTCCAGTGAGTTCTCGGCTCCGGTGCACAGCAGAGCTCTGCCGTGGTGGGCGGGCTGCCCAGGTGTCTTGGGAAGGCGGCTTTTCCAGGTTCGTCCTGAGAGTGTGGGTGTTGTAGGCGTCTGAGTCCTTCCAAATCTTACGTGGTTGTTTGTTATTTTTTAAAGATTTATATATTTATTTGAAAGGCAGAGTTAGAGAGAGAGAGTGAGCTTCTCCATGCTGGTTCACTCCCCAAATGGCTGCAACATCCAGAGCTGGGCTGGTCCAAAGCTAGGAGCTTCCTCCAGGCCTCCTATGTGGGTGCAGGGGCCCAAGTAGGTGCATTCGCAGGGAGCTGGATCAGAAGTGGAGCAGCAGGGACTTGAACCGGTACACATATGGGATGCCAGCGCCACAGGTGGCGGCTTTACCTGCTACACCTCAGCGCCGGCCCCTGTTGTTTTTTGAAGTTAGGTTTAGCAGACTTGATTTCTCACTTTAAAAAAATTGCTGTAGCAGCAGGTGTCAGAATCGTGGACAGACCACTTCTCACGGAGCTGGGGTCTCTGGCAGAGCCCTGGAAGGATGAGGGAACCGTGGTCGCTCAGTAACCTGCCAGGGGTTCCCACAGCCAGCCCCTCCACACACACAAGTGGGTCAGCGTTTCTAGCTGGTTCTTCTCCCTGGGTAATGAGGCCCAGGGGGAGGAGCCCGCCTTCATCAACTAGCACCCTAGCGCCATGCTGGCACATAGTAGATGCTTGATAAATGTACATCAGCTCACCGAGGGGAGGGAGTGTGTGTGCACACACAGCTTCATGATCCGTGACTTCCCTTTGGGATCTTATCTGGAGACGCTTTATCTTCAAGGAATGTGGTTCTTTCAGTGGAAGTGAGGAAGTGTGGTGAGGTGGGCGGTGGCCTGAAAGTTCTGTGCTGGTAGCCTCTGGGGACAGCTGCCTGGCTTCAGACCCCTGCCCTGCCACTGGCTCTGTGCCTCTGGGCACTTGGGGCGGCCTTCTGAGGTGCAGCTACCAGCTCTGAGACGGACCTGCTGTGGCTACTTGCTTGATGGGACTGTTATGAGGTGCCGGATACCCCCTTCATTACCAGGCAGTTTCAGTGTCGCTTCTTGCCTGTGGGACCCGTCAGAGCAGGCAGGAGCAGAGGGGCTGTCTCGGTGAGCAGTTCAGCCGTCTGAGCTGAGGCAGAGGGGCCCTGAGCCCTGGCCGATGGCTGCAGGAGGGGACGTCGAAGCCAGGTCCTGGGCTTGCACACGGCCTCTGTTCCAGCACCACGCACAATGGGACCAGAGTCCTTAATTGTCAAATTAATGCTGCGTCCTCATTAAACACCAGCGTCGCGCCAGCCAACTCCGTCGATTCAACAAGTCTCTCTGGTCTTGGGGGGATACGGAGAGCGCGCGGCCCTGGCCTCACTCTGCAGAGGACCTGCGGGGTCCTGAGACCACCTTAGATGACCTGCTGCGGCTGGTGACGGCCTTGGCAGGCGCATGGCTTAGAGCAGCAGGGATGATGGTGGGGGGTGTGTTTGGAATCGGGGTGTGGAGCACAGGGGCAGGGAGGCAGGGAGGCGAGTGCGGCTGGCCCTGCCACTTGTCAGTGCGTCAGCTTGGACAGGTCCCATAACCTTGGTTTCCTCATCTGTAGCGTGGGCCAGCAGTGGTGCCTGCTCGGAGGGCCCATGCGGATTGGACAATGAGCTGGGCCCGGAGGAGAGCTCAGGGTCTAAAAAGCTTTGGTTTCTGTTGTTGCTGTTTTTGAACTTGGCTGAGCGAGGCCAGAACACGAGAGCCTCCAGTCCTGTTCCCAGTCGCTCTTTCTCCTGCCCCTCCGCGAGCCAGGAGCATTGCTGGAACACTCCACAGAGCTTTGTCTGAGCTGGAGGCGGCAGGTACAGCCCTGCCCGGGGCTCCGTGCATGCAGGAGGGCCGGCCCCGGTGAGGCTCTGCTGCCCCTGAGAGCTCGCCCACTCCGGCCGCAGCCGCCGCCTCCGTGCCCCTCCCAGCCAGCAGCGTGTGTCCAGCTTGCTGCTGCCCATGCCCAGAATGCTCCCCCTGGGGGACATCCAAGGCCCCTCTCTGCTTCCTGAAGGCCCCGGCTGTGGGGGCTGCCTGGGCCCCCTGCCCAGGTCCCCTGCTCTGCTGGGGTTTACGGTGCCCCTTGCGGAGGCCTCTTGTGGTTTCCTACCTCTTGTTCTTCACCCCCACTGGATGGGGAGTGCCCAGGAGGCCGGAACTTTGTCTTGTCCGCGCTGACTTTCCCAGCACCTGCAAAGGTGCTTGGCCCCGGGTAGGTGTTCCATAAATACTTGTCCAATGAATGGCCAGGGAGTTTGAGTGGGTGGTGCTTCTGAATGTTAATACAATACTTGGACTTTAATTCATGAGCGTTTCTGACACTACCCAAGCAGCAGCAGTCTCCCTGCTTCAGCCATGACCCGAGCATGGCCCTGTGACCCCCGCCCGGAAGACCCCTCCCCTCCTGCGCAGGGATGACCTGCTCCTGGTTCCCAGAGCTGCCTTGCTCATGCCTCCAGGGACCTCCCCCCCCTCCTGGCTCTGCTCTCCACCACTCTCTGGTTCTGTCACGTTAGCATCCGGATTATTTTGTCGTCCCTTTGTGCAGAGAGAGCCCTTGGACGTGGGTGTCCCTCCAGCACGAGGACACAGTTGCAGGGAGTGGAGTTCACAAAGGCAGGCTGCAGGTGGATGGGCCCGTGTGTGTGCGTGCGCGTGCATGGGTGTGTGCGTGTGTGTGTGTGTGTGTGCATGTACGAGGAGAGGGCATGGAGCACAGGAGAGCACTCTGCCCCCTGAGGCTCTGGGAGTCTGGCCCAGCTCTGGGTTCAACTGCAGGGGGGTCCACACAGAAGCTGCAAATCCCAGGCTACCCCCTCCCAGGCAGCGGTGGGGGAGGGAGTGGCCGATCCACACTGGCTTCCCGCACTTAGAGCAGATGTGCCTGGGGACAGGGCGAAGAAAGTGCAGACCAAAGCGTGTCCGCTGGCTGTAGGGGAGGCGGCTGAGGAGCTGGGGGCCCACGGAGCTGGTGTGCCTTGCTGGGCAGAGGGCCTGAGGCCTGAACCCCGGGCTGGGGCTCGGGGAGCCGCTGGGTCGTCCTCCTCCTTGTTTTACAGCTGCTGCTCCTCAAAGAGGCTGGGCCAGAAGGAGGTGGGGTCCCTTCCTGCTGGGTTGAAGGGGCCCCGCCCCGGGGGTTCCCGGATGACTGGCCAAGGCTCGCAAAGCCAGCAGCCAGGGGAGAGGAGGCAGGCGTGGTCCTCCCGGCAGCCCATCCGGCTGTTTGGAAGGCCCTGGCGGCCCCCCAGGCCCTTGAGCCGAACCCCCTTTGTGGTCTGATTGGAACCCTGGCCCGCCCCACCCCCTTCTCTCTCTCCACTCCTGGGGCCAGCCCTTTCGGTCTGGAAGCCGCCCAAGAGCCTATCTTTGAAGCTCAGGGAAGGTTAGGAAGGAGGAAGACAGAAATGTCCTCTGGGCCGGGGGAGTGGGAGAAAGGAATTCTGAGCATGCTCCACGGGAGTCCGGCCGGGCCTCGGGCCCAGTGGGGGCGGCCGGCGTGGCCTCCCCGGTGCCCGTGCGCGTGGAGCCAGTTCTCTTCCCGGGCTGCGGGCGGGAGCCCTGGCCCTTGTTTACAGAGCTCGTTGCAACCTTGGCTCGCGAGGGTAGGAGCCAGGCCCTGCTGTCCGCCCCACAGGATGCGAGACCTCGTAATTGTCTTCAATTACAGACAGCGCGGGCCCTGGGCTCGTGGTTTCGAACAGGAACCCAGAGCCCAACCACTGTCCACGAGGAGGGGGGGGGGGCGGCGCGGCGCCTGGCCCTCGCTGCAGCATGAGGGGCTCCCCTGGCCCCAGGAGCGTGCCCGCCCCTGCTGAACCCACCTTTTTCGTCCCTGCCCAGGATGAGACTTCAGTGAGCAGCGGAGATTTTGATATGAGCGACTCCGCATGGATGTCAGCTGACCCACACCTGGCCTCCAGCCTGAGTCCCGGCCAGGACGAGAGGATGCGGAGCCCGCAGAACCTGCACAGCCACGAGGACGGTGCGTGCCCCTCGGCGCCGGCGGGGGGGGGGGGGGCAGCTGTCCTGGGGTCAGCCGGGCAGATAGCCCGCTGGGCGGTGGGGCACGGACTCAGGCCAAGGTGTGGAGTTGCTCCTGGTGCTGTCAGCATCTCAGCGGGTCCCCACTGTCCCCAGGGCCCAGGCCTTCCTCCTGGGGGGTGATGGCTCCAGCTCGCGGGGGCGGGGCTGGCTGCTGGGGAGCTGTGTCTTGGCACTTGCTGGCTTGTGGGATCCAGGCCTGGGATGGTTACAGTGTGCCTGACCCAGACCAGGCCATCTGCTAGGCAGTGACAGGAGCTGTGGTCCCGCGGCTGGGGGGTGGGGGTTGGCTGCCGGACGGGTTCTTCAGGAGATGTGGCGGGGGGGGGGGGGACTCCTTGTCGGGTCAGGAGTCCGAGGCACCAGCTCCCAGAGGCTCACTTTAGCCCTCCCACGTGGGGCTCCCAACTGCTGGGCCCTGGGCTCTGGCATCTGCCTGGGTTTGGCAGGGCTGTGGGCGGCAGCGGGGGGTGGGGGGCAGCCCCTGTGGTCACAACGCTGGGGAGGAGGGGGCTGGGTACGGGGCGGGGGGGGGGGAGCCTCAGAGAACCGGGGTATAGGAGCCGGCAATTAGGAGGGGTCGAAGGTCGGGGCCTGGTCTGTGGCGGGGAGGCACAGGGTTAAAAAGGGGTGTGAGGTTAACTCTGAACCAGCGGCCTTAGAGAGTAAATAAGGAGTAGGAGCCTCCTGGTTTGGGTCAAAGTTCGTCTCCATGGCAGAACCCGAGCCCGTCTCCCGACTGCCCCCTCAGCCTGAATCCGGCTTTGTCTGGGAGGAGACCCAGCCTGGAGGCAGCTGGAGGGGTCTGGGCCGGGGGCTGGGGAGCCAGGGAGCACTTGTGCGAGGAGTGGGGTGCGAGGCTGCTGGGAAAGAAAAGGTCTTTGTGCCTCTGTGCCTCGTGAGGTCAGCACGACCCCTCGTGCTGCAAGCCTCCCCGGCCATCCAGGGCCGCCTCTCTGCGTTCCCACGGGGGGGTGGGGGTGGCCAGGCATGGCCGGGCAGCTGACCTCCCGCCTCGCTGGGCTGCTGGAGGGCCACACCCAAAGGCACGCCCAGGGTCCTGCAACCAGGTTCAGCCCAGGGCCAGGGGTCATTCCCGCCCAAGGAGGACTCCGGGCAGCATTTGTAAAGCCCGGAAGAGGACAGAATGGGGCCGGCTCCCCCTGCTCATCCTCCGAAGGCCTTGTGCTTCTGGTCCTCACAGCCACCCCCGGGGAGTGGCTCGCGGCCTGCGGTGCTTCCGGGGCAGGCTCCACACCCGGGGGCCTTGGCGACCAGGTAGCAGTGGGTGCTGCCCACTGTCCACGAGCGCAGACAAGCCTCGAGCAGGCGAGAGGGTGGGCTGCGGTGGTCCGTGGGGGCCCGGCTGGTCTGCTGACAGGACCAGGGCGTTTATCAGGGCGGCGGTCAGAGCTGGAGACCGGGAGGATGGTGTTGACCGTGATACCACCAATTTAATTATTTCATCAGAGGCCGTGTCTGCAGGCTCTGGGCTGGTGTGCTGGCGTGAGACTGGCCCAACCCAGCACAGGGGTCAGGCTTGAGGAGGCACAGACAGCTCATCTGGTCCCTGCTGCCTCTTTGGGTCCCCGGGGCCTGTTGCGGACTGCTGCGTCTGCCCAGGGGCCGTGGCCAGGCACAGCGCCGGCCCGCGGTCCCGGGCCAGCCTCTGCACATGCGAGCTGAGCTCGAGCTCCTTGGGGTGCGTCCAGAGGACCCCCCGCCAGGCTTCCGGGTGTTTTCATGGCCCCTGTTGTCCCTGAAGGACCAGGGTGGGGACAGGCTGGGCAGGTGGCTCTGGTGGGCCCTGCATCCTGCACCCAGCTACGTGGCTGCTCCTGTGTGGCCTCTGTGCTCGCTCTGCCCCCCGGGGCCTCTGCCCGTGGGAGAGCTGGGTGTCTGCGGCCCCCACTGTGAGCTCTGCCCACCCGGCTCTGTTCTGCCCCGGACACCAGCTGCGTGCTGGCATTCCTTGAGACCCAGCCCCTAAGCACAGCATCCAGTGAGGACACGGTGTGCCCCTCACTGGGGACAGATTGGGCCCTTTGATCCTGAGGACGCTAGCCCCCTCCAATCCCCGCGGCCGTGCTGTGTACCTGGGTCTTTTCCCTTCGCCGGCAGCACCTCCCAGCCCTGCAGAGCAGCGGTCAGCCTGGAGCCATCCCAGGAAGCCCGGCCCTTGGCACAAATTCACACCTCCCTGCTGGTGGCCGTGGTGAGGGCCCTCTTCCTCCTTTCAGGTTTCACTAAGGCTGGGCGCTGGCAGGGCGGGTGCCACGGCAGAGCTGGGGCTGTCTCGGAGGTGCTGCCAGCTGAGCGTCTGCACCCTCTGTCCTGCTGCTGCCGCCTGCCTGCCCCCCACCTCCCTGCCCCCCACCTCCCTGTCCCCTGTCTCCCTGCCCCTTGCCTGCCTGTCTCCCACCTCACCTTCCTGTCCCCTGCAACCTCTTCGCCGCAGTTTCCCGTGCCTGTACTGAGGGTCCCATCCTGGGTGCCCCTAGCGCTGGGCAGGGAGCTGTTGCCCAGCCCCTCTGTTGGGCTGTTTGGGGGAGTGCATTGCTCTGGTCCCACAGGGGAAGAAACTGAACATCAGGGAGACTGTGGGTGGCCCAGCCCGCATCAGGGGCGCTGCAGAGGCCAGCCCACGTGGAGGGTCCCTGGGAGATGGGCGGGGAACTCTCCCAGAGCACCGGCTTCCGCCCACGCTTCCTGTCCACATATGGGCCAAGCCCCACTCGAGGCCTCGGCAAAGCCCTAGCGAGGTTTTCTGTTCTTTCTGCTGGCGTTGGGGTCCCGGCAGTGTGCTGTGCGCATTGCAGGTGCTTGGGAAAACACCCTGACCCGGGGCAGCCTCTGGGTGTGGAGAGAGGCTGCCTGCTTGAGACTTGGCCCAGAGACTCTGAGCTGGCATTGCCGGGGCTGTAGGGACGCCCCCCTCTGTGGGGTTATCTGCTTCAGGCCCAGCTCTGCCCCTGGGGCTGTGAGCAGGGCTGCGGGAGAGCCTGTGGGGCGAGCGCTCGGGTGTGTTGTCGGTACCGGGGCAGGGCCGCTCCTGCCATTTCCCTCTCGCTCAGCCCCTTCCTGAACGGAACATGTGAGGCCTGGCCTCTGGCAGGGACGCGCCCGGCGGGAGCGAACATTACTCACCTCCCGCACAGACAGGAAGCCCGCGCCAGGGACAGCCAGGGTCCTGCTTCCGCCTCCTGCGGGTGGGGTGGTTGGGGGATGTGTGGGGCCCAGGAGCCTCCTCTGTCCTGGGCTGGGCCTGCGCCTCCTGCCTGGTGCCTCATTGGCCGGAGGCTGGACAGGGACGCTGGGGGTCCCTCCGGGCTCTTCGCCAGTGGCAGCCCGGCTGGGAAGCCCCATCCCCACCTTTGCTTCCCAGGAGTCTGTGGCACCGTTGCCGGGTGGGCAGCACTCAGAACCCAGTCCCTGCCAGGCCATCAGCTTCCTGGACAGGAGCTGTGTCTTGGGAGCAGTGACTCTTGTCTTCCCCTTACGTTCATGGCAGAGGACTGGGAACGACAAAGGGGAAGCAAAGACAGCATTGGGGCACAGCCCTTCCCCAGGGTTTCTGTGCATGAGGCCGGAGCCTCATTTTGTTTTTTATTCCCTACTTATTTTTGAGATGTATCTATTTATTTGAAAGGTGGAGTTAGAGAAATCTCCCATCCACTGGTTCACTCCCCAAATAGCCACAACAGCCAGGAGCTTCTTCCGGGCACCCCACGTGGGTGAAGGGGCCCAAGGATTTGGGCCATCTTCTGCTGCTTTCCCAGGCGCATTCAAAGTGGAGCAACCGGGACTTGAACCTGCACCCATATGGGATGCCAGTGCCGCAGGCAGAGGCTTAAGCTGCTACGCCATAGTGCCAGCCTCTCGTTTTGTTTTTTAAAAGGGGGTGAGGGGAGCATGGAGGTGCTGCATGGTGTCGGTCAGCTCCGTCCTGTCCCTGGTGTGCACCTGCCACAGTGTTAAAGTCTGTGACCGGAGGTCCTGGCCTTGAGCTCCCTGCCCGGCTGCGACCCTGTGAGCTCAGACCTGTAACTGTTCCTATCACTCACGGGAAACATGTGCCAGGGGGAGTGTTTCACCTGGACCCCAGGGGCACGGGTCTAGCCAGAGCCCAGGCTCCGCACAGTCCAGTCTCCTAGGCTGGGCTTCCCCTGGGCAGGTGTCAGGTGATCCACGGTGGAGATGAGACACGGGGACCGGGGAACAGGCAGCCCCAGCCTGAGGCAGCAGCAGGTCCCCCCGAGGAGGGTGCTGAGGGCCAGGTGGTCCCCAGGCCATGTCTCCAAAAGGTCCCTGTGCCCCCAGGAAAAGCAAGGCAGCATGGACACAGCTAGGCCGCCTGGCAAGGGTCTGGCACGTGAGGGTCCGGGAGGATAGAGAGTGGTCGGGCCGTCCCTGTGGGCTTGAGGTCTCAGCTGGACGGGCTGCCTAGACGTGGTCCCTGTGCGCTGCTGTGTGTACCCTGAGCGGGCCCTGCAGTGTAGTCTGGAGCTCACTGCTCGCCCTCTCTGAGCCTTGGCCTCTGTCTATGGCATGGTCCTGGGGCCGTGGCCATCAACCCTGGAGTCCTTGGGAGTTCTTGGTAAGAAGACCAAGGCTTCCTGCCTCCTGGCCCTTGGTGCCCTGGGCGGGGCCCTCCACACCCGGAAATGCAAACTGGGTGGCAGGGCGGCCCCCGGGGAGCAGGTGCGTGACCGGGGCACCCAGGGTGCAGTGTTCGCGGTGGCGCTGCCTCTCTTGTCCTCATCAGCCTGTGCCCTTCTCTCCCGGGTCTGCAGGGAGGCACGGGGCCAGCGTGAGGCCCCAGCTTGGCTGCCTCTGACCCAACCCCAGATCCTGCCCCTGCCGCCGCCTCACTGTGTGGCCTGGGCAAGCCCTTCCCTCGCTGGGCTGTGGGATGGTCACCTTGCTGTCTTGTGACCCTGT